GGGGGGGGGGACCGAAGCCAGGGCCTGGAGCATGTTAAGCATACCTTCTTCCGCTGAGCTGCACAGCCATCCTTTCCTCTCCCCACACCCCCAAAGACGTGATTTTAAAGAGAATGTAAGGCAAGTTGAAAGGGCAGCTTATAGGTTTGGCCGTGTTGGAACACAAACGTCTGTGTATATCTAAAGATGACATAACATGGTGTGCCCACCATAATGACAGCGGGGAATCAACAGAAAAGGAAGACGCATTGAGGGTGATTGGGGGTGGGGAGGGCAGCACTGGGGCCTTTCTCGTTCATTTTAATTACTTAACTCTAGGGCTGAGGATGTGGCCCAGTTGGTAGAGCCCTTGCCTATCGTGCACAAAGCCATGGGTTCTGTTTCTAGCACAGCATAAACTGGGCATGGCTGTACACACCTGCAATTCCAGCATTCAGGAGTTTGTGGTCCTCTTCAGCTACCTGGAGAGTTCAAGGCCTAAGCGACATGAGACCACCCAGCTTTTAAAAAAAATTAAATTGGACAGTGTCAACCAAAGACTTGAGTTTTTTTCACCTTAAAAGTAATTTGAGACTTTGAATTGAAACTGTTAAATTCTAAAATGGGCAACGTTAGTTAAAGCCTTGGTTATTTGGATTTCCCCAGTTTGGAATGGGGCTGGGCTGACATTTAGCCATTGTGCTGTTCTTAAGGGGCAATGGCCATGAAATGCAGTTTAATCATAAATAGAATTATGTGAATTATGTGAGGGGGTTTGTCCTCTTTCAATAATGTGACAAAATTAATTACTTCACATTGCTTTTTAATATGCCAATTTGAATATTATTCTTGTTAATTTAGAGAACATTTATTACACAGCATTTAATTTCTTTTTGCTTTGGTATATTCGTGAAATTTGTCTACCCCAGCGTAGCCTTTTCTCTTGCTAAACTGGGTTTAAATTTAAAAGATCACATTGTGGCCGGGCTTGGTGGCACAAGCCTTTAATCCCAGCGCTCGGGGAGGCAGAGGCGGGCGGATCTCTGAGTTCAAGGCCAGCCTGGTCTACTAGTGACTCCAGGACAGCTGGACAGCTGGGCTACAGAGAGACCCTGTCTCAAAAAGACCAAAAAAAAGATCACATTGTATTAGTGGCAGAGCTTTGCAGAACAAGAGCAGGCTATTTAAATTCAGCAAAATCACTTGGGTGTTTGTAATAAAGCATGTGTTCTAGTTTACTTTCTGTTGCTGTGATAAAGCTCAGACCAAAAGCAACTTGAGGAAGAAAGGATTTATTTGGCTTACAGGTACATGCAGATCATCATCAAGGGAGGCCAAGGCAGGAACTGAAGCAGAGACCGTGGAGGAACGCTGCTTACTAGTCTGCTCAGCTACCCTCCTTATACAGCCCAGGGACACGTACCTAGAGATGGCACTACCCACAAAGGAGCTGGACCCTCCTACATCAGTTAGCAAACAATAAAATGCCCCCACATGGCCATGGGCCAGTCTAATGGAGAGGATCTCTCAGCTGAGGGTCCTCTTCCCAGGTGTGTTAAATTGACAACCAAGATTACCCACCACAACATCAAAATGAATATAATTATTTTGGGATTTTTATTATTAAAAAATGAAATATAGGGCCTGGAGAGATGGCTCAGTGGTTACGAACACTGGCTGTTCTTGCAGAAGACCTGGATTCAAATCCCAGCACCCACATGGCAGCTAATAACTATCCTAACTCCAGTTCCAGGGGATCCAACAGCCTCTTCTGTCCTCCATGGGCATTGCACAACACAGGTGCACTTACGTACATGCAGGCAATACACACATACACATAAAAATAATAAATTTTTTTTAAATGAAATTTAAACCAGATGTGGTGACACATGCCTTTAATCCCAGAGGATTTCTGTGAGTTTGAGGCCAGCCTAGTCTACGCAGTGGATTCTGGGCCAACCAGGGTTACATAGCAAGGCCCTATCTCAAAAAAAAAAAGTGTGTGTTCACTTGATTACATAGCTTCTTTTCTATAATGTGAAATAAACTCTGTTATCTGTGTTAGACATAAAGATACTTCCTAGTAATCTTGACATTTGAGTACGGGAAGATTAGTACATATTAGTACATATGCATCTACTAGAGACTGAAATCAGGCACTAAGTAGTTATGACAATAACAAGAAGTAAGCACATGCAGGACTGGCACCTGCTGTGTGCCTGGTGATGAGCGTGATCCTGCTGTTTCTCATGCACTGTTTGCAGAGCAGGTACTTGTTCACATTGCTGTTCTCGCCACGTTAGAGTAGCAAGACTAAGGGTGTCGATCTGCAGATGAAAAGAAAGATCAAAACCATCTCTTAGGCTAGATTATTAGAAACATGGAGATTGTGCCAGTAATCCAAATGTAAAGATGGTAGTGCTGCCACCAGCAACTGAAATGGGGGCAGTGTGCGTTGGAAGGCCCACGAAATGCGTGTGGTGACTACGATACAGGGGACAGAGAAAGCAGAGGAGGTGAAGGGAGTGACACACTGAGGGAGAGAATGAGCAAACAGGAGCGGGCACTGCTCCATATGAAGACATTGGGGGAGGTTCACTAATATTCACCTTATTGCATTTGGGACCGTAGGGGGGACCCGTTAGGACTGGGAGGGAAGGTGAGAGCCATCAGTACAATGCAGTCAAGGCAGGAGAAAGAGGAGACATGGGGCAGGAGGACAGCCTGGATGATGGGGCTCACCAGAGTCCAGGGACAGGAGCACCAAAGACTGGGTCAACCAGGAAGCAACAGCCACTTTTAGGTAGAGAGGGCACACACGAAGGTGGGGGCCAGTACTTGTTGTTAGTCACTATCAGTGATGGTTCTTAATTAGGTTTCTGTAAGCAGACACCATCAGGGCTGTCCTCCAAGTAACCAGCCTGTGTGTTTCAATCCTTCAGGTGGTATTGGAATGCTATGTCAGAAAGGACTTGGTCTACACCAAAGCCAATCCGACGTTTCATCATTGGAAGGTTGATAATAGGAAGTTTGGACTTACTTTCCAAAGCCCGGCCGATGCTCGAGCCTTTGACAGGGGAGTAAGGAAAGCAATCGAAGACCTTATAGAAGGTATTGGATTTGTCACTGCACCCTTAGTGGGACTGTGGGGACGTTCCAGATTCTTTCTAATTCCAACAGCCTGCCATCTGTATTTGCGGTTTGTTTGCAGGAGGGTTTGGGACCAGGTCATTGGCTACAACAACTTTCAGAACACCCGAGGAAAGTGGTTAGAGATGGTGCAGGGGAAAGTGATGGCTTTCTGAGTGAGCTTTCCCATTGGTTAGTGTGCTCTGAGTAAACAAGCAGCCCTGGATTTCCATGTGGTGCTGACTATTGAGAGGGTCGCAGCTGCTGTTGAGATTATTAACTATTTTATGTAAGTAGCTAATGTACAGTTTGAAAGGATGCATTAAAAGAACAGAAACCAGGCCAGGCATGGTGGTGCTTTAGTCTGAGCACTCTGGAGGCAGAGGCAGGCAGATCTCTGTGAGATCTAGGCCAACCTGGTCTACATAGAGAATTCCAGGCCAGTTGGAGCTAAAGGGAGACACACAAAAAGAACACTGGAGAAATGATTCAGTGGTAAGAGCAACTGACTGCTCTTGCAGAGGACCCAAGTTCAATCCCCAAAACCCACATGGTGGCTAACAATCATCTAAAACTCCAGTTTCAGGGGCTCCAACACCTTCTGGCCTCCACAGGCATTGCACTCACAGGTACACTTACATACATGCAGGCAAAACAATCATACACATATAAAAATAAGTAAATAAAAAAAATTTTAAGGCACAGAAGCCATATATGTGATTTGAATCCTTAACAAGATAGAACTCTGCACAGCAAGAATAAATGACTTCTCTTGACTGTAAATGCATACAAACAGTAGACAATTTATATACTATTCAGCAGTTTTTTAAATGGCTTAGCTGGTAATTGTTGTAGTGCATGCCTGCCAACCTGAATTCGATCACTAGAGCTCACAGTGCAAAAAGGGAACTGACTGCTGCAAGTTGTCCTCTGCCTGCTACATTCCAGACCTGGAGCAGTGCACATGCGCACACGCATGCACGCCACCACTAATGATAACTTTATAGTTTATGAACAGCCTCCAGCCATTACTAACAATGAATTATGTTATACATAATTGATTTTTTTTGAGACAGGGCCTCTCAGTAGTGCCAGCTGACCTGGAACTCACTATCTAGACTAAGCTGGCCTCCATCTCACAGAGATCCACCTGCCTCTGCCTCCCAAGTGCTGGGATTAAAGGCATGCGCCACCTCACCCAGCTCAGAAGAGAGAAAACATTTTATTGTTGATTTTCTAGCAGTGATTGGAAGATCCTGGAACAGACACCATGAAATAACTCAGCTTATTTTTAACTGTTAGGAACACTGTGCAGAGGCAACACTGCTTTACATGAACCTGTTAAAGCAAAGGCCACCTCTGCCTGGGGCCCTCACTCAGTGCAGGCAGTGCTCATTGAATGAGTACTGAACCTGGAAGGGCCACCAGTGCTCACAGCGGGCTTGATTGCAGCCCTCAGCTACAGTATTTAGTATTCTGAATCCTCCACTTCAGCACACTCGGCTATCAAATCATGGAATTCAAGGTGCCAGGGCCCTGTGGAGAGACAAATACCAAGCAAGAGCTAGAAATGCAAAAAAAATTAAGTAAATTTCTCTTTTAGGCCTATCTATTGTGTATACAAATTAAATGTTCTTTTGGTCAATTAAATTGACCCCCAGATTACTGGGTGCTGTTAGTTATTTGCAGACTGGATAAAGGGGTGAACAAGTAAATTGGACTTGAATCACCAGGTCAATTCATGATGAGGTTTGATGGATTTTTCTGGGAGGCAGAAGCAGGCGGATCTTTGTGAGTTCAAGGCCAGCCTGGTCTACATAGTAAGTTCCAGGACAGCTGAGGCTACAGAGAGACCCTGTCTCAAAAAGACAAAACAAACAAGCAAACACACGAACAAAATTTTATATATATATATATATAGTTTTTAAAATTTCTGGGGATATAGCTCATTGGCAGAGTGTTCCTGGCATACATGAAACCCCATGTTTAGTCCCCAGTACTTCCAAAAAAAAGAAAAAGAACATAAAATGTGCTTTTTAGGGCTGGAATGTGGCTGAATGGTAGAGTACCTGCCTAGTATGTGTAAGGCCCTGGGTTCAGTCCTCAGCAATGGGAGGGGAAAAAAGAACCCATCACCTCCACCATTCTTAATACTTTGTAAATGGTTTAATTCAGTTATCCACAACTTGATTGCATTTCTGTCTTTTTAGGCTCAACAACCTCATCTTCCACCATCCATAACGAAGCTGAGCTTGGTGATGATGATGTTTTCACAGTAAGTTCCCTTTGCCCTTTGATTCCCACATTACATGATGAATATCAGAGAACGTTCCCATTGAGGACACAGGAGACACTTTGCAATGTGGCACCTGCTGTTGCCGTGTCTGCCATCACAGACAACGCTGTCTTGCCCCAACTTTCTGTGTGCCGGTCCTCCCCGTGTGCATGCCGCAGTTCCCTGGGGCAGCCCACAAGTGCCTACTCCACCCAACTGTCCCAAGTTCAGATCCTGAGGGCTTCTTGCAGATTTGGGGCCAGCTGCTCTGGTTTGCCCAGAGTAGTCCCTACTCATGAAGAGCCCTCCAGTCTCAGGCAGACCAGGACGGCTGGACACCCATCTTGGAATCTTTGGCTACCACATTCCCTGGCACTGAAAAGAAAGCCAGAAGGACCTCTTCTGGTAATTCCACTTTGCACATGAAAGACTTGGAAGTTGGACTGGGGTTAGGAGGAAAGGACTTAGTATTTTGACATAGCTTCAGTAACTGGGGGCAAAATGATTTCTCAACTTCCTTCTCCATGGAAATCTTATGCATCTAAGGAGTTAACTAACGAGTGAGTTGGTGTCAAGCTGCATTTTCAAACTCAGACCTTGAACCACAAAGAGAAAGGCATCGTTGTAGCCCAAGACACACACATATCAATAGATCCTAAACGCAGATCTGCTGCATGCTGTGCAATCTGGGTTTTTCCTATTTCATTTCCTGTTTGGGCAGTGGTTACTGTTGGCTGTTGTTGATGACAAATTTAAAGAATGACATAGTGACTGTCTGAACACCCTACACCTAGATTCAGCATTTGTATGACAGCAGCAGGAGCTTGAGGCCCATGTTGAATCTGCAGTCAAGAAGCCAGGCGCGCTGAATGCCGTTACTCAGCTAGATTTTGCCACCCCAGCTCAGGGGATGGGCTACCCACCTCAATTGACCTAATCTAAGTAATTCCTCACAAGTATAACTAAAGGCTTGTCTCTTAGCTGATTTTAGACCCTATCAGGTTGACAGTATATATATATTTTTTTTTTAATCGTGTCTTTGTATCTGTGAATGATGTATGTACGTGGGCACATATCTGGAGGTCAGAGGACAACTACATGGAGTGGGTTCTCGCCTACCTTGCCGTGGGTTCGAAGGATCAAACTCAGGTATCCAGGCTTAGTAAGCAAGCACCTTTACCTCCTGAATCATCTGACTCGCCCAACAGTCATTATTAACTACCAAGGTCAATGTGCATAATTACACATGCACATATAAGAATCTGTGTACACACATAGAAATTTTTTTACTGATCCAGTTGAATGTAAATTCCCCCAATTCTTTATTGTGCAGCTCCATTAAAAAATAAAATAAAAAACCACCAGCATTCACAGAAGTATTTTAGGGTAGTGAAACTGCTCTGTGGTGCTCTAGCAATGACACATGTCATTGTCCATTTCCCCAAATCCATAGAATGCACAACACCTACCCTGAACCATAAGGAAACCAATGAGATTCAGGTGGTAAGGTGTCGATGTGGGTTCATTAATTCTTTAACAAATACACACTCTGGTAGGGCGGCTGCCTGCATAGCGGGGAAAACTGTGTGGGGAATTTCAGTACCTTTCATTCAGTTTTCCTCATGAACTTAAAGTAAAATATAAAAAAGATAAGACAAAGTTGAATGAAAGTTTTTTTAAAAGAAAATACAACATTCCCGTATACAACTATAGCACCATAACTAAGAAATTTAATAGGAAATTAGGAAAAATAATAGAAATTTCATAATGTCATCTAACACCTTCATAATTACCCAGTTATCCCAAGACTGATTTTTGTAAGCTGTTTTTATTTCACGTTTTAAAATACTGGATATAACTGATTAAATTTGTTTCTCAGTGTGTTTATGATTTTCGGCCAGTGGTGTGAGAAATACTGCTTTAGAACTGCACAGTGTGTAAGCCAAGGCTCCAGCCCTAAGAAGCTAACAGGGTGGCTTGTAGAAATGAACTTGATGCACGAGAAGCCTAACAATGGGCAGAGGGCAGACTGCAGAGAGTGATCTGATCTGCAGATGAAGGAGGCAGGGGCTCAGAGGACACCTCACTAGGAGAGGAGATTGGACAGGACCTCAGAGGTATTTGCACAGTTCTGGAAAGGGATCCCTGGGTGAAGCAGGCCTGTGAGCTGCGGAGCATCACAGTCCTGACCATGTGTGAGGCTGGCAGAAAATGAACTAGCTTGTCCTTCCCTGGAGCACTGGACTTGTGTGTGGCTCTGAGCAGGCTTCCTCTGGTCCTCTTAGTGGACCCTCTCAGCAGTTGGCATGTTGCTTACATCTGTTCTTTTGTCACGTTTAGGGAGACACACAACAGCAGGCGGGTTAAAGGTGGTTTCCTGTGCTCTGGAGCAAAATCATTGTTTGCAGCTGCTTCCCAGATACCTGCCAGAAGTGATTTATAGACTCGGGGAGGGCAAGAAAGGAAGGAGTGATAGAAGCCAGAATCCCCTTGGCTTTGTCCTTTAATCCATGGGGGATCCACATGCTGCTTTAGGGAAAGGCTGGGTACCTATAAGGAATTTAGAACAGCTCTGCTGTGCCCAGAGGCTTGGACACTCACTGGAGATGTCCCTTAACAGACTACACCCCCAGCACCCTGGTATGGATGGACAGTTGCCTGTTTACAAACAAGGGCCTATTTGTAATGGTACCGCCCTTCCCCAGGAAAAGCCCATCTTTAGGCCCCAATTTTCCCACTGACCATAGGAAAATGGGAGGACAACGGCAGCCTGACATGCCAGGTTCCCATTCATCCTAGCCCCTGCTTTAGCTTCGGCTGCGTAACCCACCGCTTTCCAAGTGGTGGTTCCATAACTTTTCTGAAAGACAAGTGTTTAGAATTTGGAATTCAAAATCAAAAAGCATACAAACACTGCTAAGACTCTCCTACAACATCTCATGGGTGAGAATTGTGATTGTTTTGGGAGATGGCATGTTTTGTCCCTGCCACTGCAGCTAGAGGGTTCCCCAGTTCACAGGGTTGCTTGGGACTAAGAAGAAAGACATGGGGTGCTGTGGACACTGTGTGAGTGCTTAAGAATATACACATTCCCAAATGTGTGCCCCGGGGAACACTGCTTGGGGTGTTGCCTCAAGTGTTCGCCTGTTGCAGCTTAGTCACCAGTGTGGCAGTGTTGAGAGATGGTGGGACACTTCAGAAATAGTACTGGTGGGGGGTGTTTAAGTCATTGAGGACACTGCCCTCAAGAGAAATAAAACAGTTCTTGTGAAATCTAGTATGGACTTGTGGGCTCACAAAGTATAGCTGCCTCCACCTCTCCCCAGTTCTTGGTTGGGACCAGCTTGACCTACTCACTTCTCAGGATGGGAAACCAAACTGTCTTCCTTTGGGAAAATGCCCTGCCTGTGCACTTTGCTGTCGTTTGCCAGCATTGCACCCCCCCTGCCCCCTACCCCCACCCTAGGCCTCCTAAGCCTGTCCTTCCATTCTTCCATTTCACTACCCCAGCTGGTGCTTGTCCATGTCTTTCAGTGCCCCAACAGAAATTCCTGACTATCAGCTACTCTGTTGAGTTTGGGTCCTTACTCTATTAAATTTCCTAGGTTTTTTTTTTGTTTTTTGGTTTTTTTTAATTCTTAGGTTGTATTTCACATGCGTGCATTCATGGGTACCCCACAGCATACATGTGGTGGGAGGTCAGAGGACAACTTACAAAAATTGGTTCTCTCCTTTCACTACATGGGTTCTAGGAATCAAACTCAGGTTGTTAGACTTGGCAGCAAGTGCCTTTACCTGCTGAGCCATAGAGAGTATAAAAAAACAAAGGGCTGGGGCTATAGATTGCCAATAAGAGTGCTTGCTAGCATTCGTGAAGTTCTAGATTCTATCTCCAGTGAACAACACATCAAAGAGACTAGCATTTGATGATAGAGGACTTTAGGGCATTGCTCCTGTGGGTGTCTCCAGCTGTTGGCTTTGCTTTGGAGCTGGGAGACTTGAAAGGGACAGTTGCAAGCTGGCTCTGCTGAATGATTCGTTCTGTTAACTGGCCAGTCTTGGAGAGGCCCATGTAAGCTTGGGCTACCCATACTTAATTCCGTGAACACATAACCTATCAGCTCCCCAGCTGAGGATGACTTCTTCTAGGATCCCTGCAGCTCAGGACTGAGAGGCAAGGCATTTGAAGTCAACAAAGAAGAGGTGTGGGTGGATGTGGTGAGGAGAGAGATAGAAAAGAGGAGAGAGAGAAAACTGGAGGCACTCCAGGGCTTGATGACCATATTATAAAAACCTTCCAAATTTGGGCTGGGCATGGTGGCTTATGCCTTTAATCCAAGCATTTGGGAGGCAGAGGCAAGCAGATCTTTGTGAGTTCAAAGCCAGCCTGGGCTACATAGTAAGACCCTGTCTCAAAAAACAAAACCCAAAACTAAGTTTCTGTTGGAAGTTTTGGCCCATTAAAACCTACTGGTTTGCCAGGCATTTAGTACATGCCTTTAATCCCAGCACTCAGGAGGCAGTGGTAAGTAGATCCCTGTGAGTTCTGAGCCAGCCTGGTCTACATAGAGCGAGTTCCAGACCAGCTGGAGCTACAGAGAGACCCTGTCTCCAAAAACAAAAGTGGTTTATTTAGTGTTGCAGAATTTTAAGCTCATTTTAAAATGTTATCCTTGTCATCGATGGACAAGGATAAGTTTTAAATGCTCTTGGGAGGGTACAGCTGCAGCGGACACATCCTTCTGGAACAGGCTAGTCCAGATCAGCAGTTAAATGTTGTTGCCGCTTCAGCTGTCCTTGTGCAGATGACTGCACCCGGCTCTAAAGCTGGGAATTAGGGAAATATTTACTTTATAGGAAGAACTTGGGGGTGTATAGCCAAATCTTAGTCTTCCATAATCATAAGTCCTTAAGTAATACCTAAGTCCACAAAGCTCCTAGGAAATAGTAGAGAGCTGTGACACTTTGCAGCATTGGAAGAGGGGGCTGAAGAGGTGGTT